AACCCGGGCGAGGCGTGCCGCCCCGCTCCGGCCGTCCGCGGCGCAGTGCCACATCGGAGCTGCTCTCAGAGCCGCGGAGGCCGGTGGCGCCCCTGTAGGCGGCGCCCCTTTAGACGCGGGCGCGCTGCTGGTCAACAGGTGGCAGCTGCTGTTGTTTGACACGGTGCCCAGGCGGTCACTGCCCCAGACGAGACGGAAGCCGACGCCCTCAGGGCCCAATCCTCCGGCGCCGTCCGCTACTGACGGCCGGGCATTATCCGGCATTGATTTGGATGCACTTGAAATGCGGCGCTAATCGTAGCGAACGCGTCAGGTCAAGGCATTCTTGTGAACGGCGCCGACTGAGAGACTTGTACTCCCCGGCATTCTCCATTCGTCTTCGTCTTGGCTTCGCCTCATGTGATGGTGTGAATTATCCGGATGCTTTGATGTTTTTGAATTTTCAGCGTTATCTTAGTTAGCGAATGCGTCAGGTAAAAGAATGTCTTTTGAACGGAGTTGACTGAAAAGAATGAGTGTTTGCCGGCACACCCACCTTCCCTTTCATCTAGGCTTCATCATTTGCTTTGTTTGATATTTCCCTCTCTGCCCACTTTCTTTCGTTCTCACGCCGCGTGCTCCTTTTTCATCGTCTTCTTTTCTTCTCCCTTTATTCTCTCTTTTCTCCTTACATCTCTCATGTCACTCACTCTCCTTCTCTGCGTCGGAGGCCGGTTTTTGTGTAGATCGCGCCGCGGATACAATTAATCGACACCAGCGTGTGCCTGCATCCTGTACACATGTAGCGTGTCGGGGCCGCCGTGATTCTGGCGGCGCCCGCTGGCGCTCGCTGTCGTCAGCGCCTGGCCGACCCATTAGGGGCCCGCCCAACACCTGTGTGAAGCGGCGCTCGCCTGGCGTCGCGTCTGCTGTCAGGCGGTTCAGGCCGCTGGCGGGTGCGGCGCACCAGCATGCCGCCATGTAGACCCGACTGCTGCCAGTAAGTCCACCGGATGTTGCCTTTGGTTCGGCGCGTTCAGTATCGGTCATCTTTAAAACCAACAAGTCCTGAGCAGCATTTTGCAATAGGCTTTTTGGAAAGCTGTCCTATCGAGCGCAGGTATCTTTTTCCGCGGGCCGTAGGTAGAACGGGGACGAATAGGCCGTGGCTCCCCCATTTTTTCATGGTCATGACTACCCAACTTTTGAGGACATTTCTATGCATCCAGCGGAGACTGCCAGAACGGGGACCCCCATCTCCTCCGAACCAGGAATCACAGAGACTCTCTTGCGATCGCTCCCGGCTGGTCGTCCCGGCGGGCTCTCTGGGCCGGGGCGACGGCGGCGGTGGTGGTGCGCGGCCGGCCCGCGGGCGCCGCCGGCAGCCAGCCGCCGCGCCGTCAGCGGCCTCGCGCGAGCTGTTTTGGCACAGCTGTCGGCCGGCCGGGCGGCGCGGACGCCGGAGTCGGGAGCGACGCCAGCCCAGCGACGCCGCCGGCCCGCGTCCGGTCCGACGGGCCACCGGTCCTGGGCCGACGGGCACGGGCCACCGGCCGGGGCCGACGCCGACGGCCGACGGCGCGGCAGACAAGCTGCTGTCTGTTACTGCCCTGGTAATGTGTTGAACCGAGAGAGCCTGAGAGCCGTTGCAAGGTTGTTGAGAGAAGCTGAGGGATGTTGCGGGTTTGATGGCATGGTGAACACCTAAGGGGGAGGGGGGGGGGGGGGAGTGACGACAGGGGGCCAGGCTAACCGGGTGCAGCGATGAGCTGTGTGGCAAAACGATTAGAACATCGTCGGGCAATTCGGCGCCAGGCGATTGGGCGCTGTTTCGAGCCCGCTGAGACCATGATGGGCGATGATGGCTGAATCATTGTTAGCTGGTGGTAAGGCTCGGCCAAGCACCAATAAAGGGGCAGTTTTGGCGTCGCTGCACATTTCGCATGGAGGCAGTGCATTTTTGCCAACGCTTGTGCCAATAAAAAGCCGTAAGCTTGCTGTTCCAGCCATGCTTGCTGTTCCGAGCCATGTGGGCCGCGCCTCGGTCGCGCTTTTTGCCCCGCAAATCTCTTTACGTTCGGGCGGGCGGGCCAGCATGGCCACTTGCGGGTCCGGTGGCCAGATACTCGAGGCTGACTTTACCGAGGTCCTTTCCTGGACGACGCCACGTCGCTCGGCGGCGGGCGAAACAAAGCGCGCGCTGCGGTCAGGGGCCGCGCCGACTGCAGCTGCAGGCAGCCGACGGCCTGCACAGCATACAAGAGCCGACGCCGCCCACTCGGCAGATATTGGCCACCCTGCCGCGCCGCGCTCGCGCGCTCGCGGCCTAGTCTTCTCGGGGCCGGCGCGGGCGGCCGAGCCGGAACCGGCCGCCGGCCGCCGGCCGCCGGGGGCGCCGGGCGCCCGGGCGCCGGGCGATCGGACGCGTCGTCTGGCGGCTGCCCTCGCGGGCGCCCCGGCCGCGGGAGCAGTGCCGGGCTGGGGAGACGTGTCCGCGGGAGCAGTGCCGGCTGGGGAGACATTTCCGCGGGAGCAGTGCCAGTTGGGGAGACATTCCGCGGAGCAGTGCCGGCTGGGGAGACATGTCCGCGGGAGCAGTGCCGGACTGGGGAGACATGTCCGCGGGAGCAGTGCCGGGCTGGGGAGACATGTCCGCGGGAGCAGTGCCAGTTGGGGGAGACATGTCCGCGGAGCAAGTGCCGGGTTGGGGAGACGTGTCCGTGGGGAGCAGTGCCAGTTGGGAAGACATGTCCGCGGGAGCAGTGCCGGGGCTGGGGAGACACAGTCCGCCGGCGTATCCGTGCCGCCACCAGGGGCGCAGCAGTGCGGGCCGGTGGCGAGCCTCCAGGGGCAAAGGCAGGGAATATATTCACGGCTCAACCGATCGCCGTTGGCACGTGTCGGCCAGCGGCAGTGACATGCGTCGGCGGCGAGCGGGCCGACGGCGGGGCCGGACGGCAGACGACGCCGAACGAGGCTCGTGGGACGCGGAGCCTCCAGGCCCGAATAGGGCCATGGACGCGGCGGCAGCGGTGGTCACTGGCCCACCAGTCGTGTGCGCGGCGGCGGCTGGCGCAAAAACTGGCCGCCGGGCCGGCCGCTCGGCCCCCGATGCTATCGTCCTAATTGACATGATACAAATGGGGCGGTCCGCAGCGGCGCGGCGCGTCTGGTCACGTGTGCGAGGTCGGGCGGCGCAGGGAGAGCGTTGCCCCCGGCGACGGAGCTGGAGGTTCGGTGCGGACCGTTTCGGAGACGCCGGCGGGGGTGGGCTCGGGTGTGCTGTCGAGCTGGGCCGAAGGATTGTGCGGGGGTCTGATCAGGCACCGCGGAGGTGGGGCTCGGTGTGCTGCCGAGACTGCGCCGGAGGGATGTGTGCGGGGTCTGATCAGGCCACCGGGGGGGTGGGCTCGGTGTCTGTGCCAAGCTGCGCCGGAGGATTGTGCGGGGTCTGATCAGGCACCGGCGGGAGTGGGCTCGGTGTGTTGTCGAGCTGGGCCGGGGGATTGTGGGGGGTCTGATCAGGCACCAGCGGGGGTGGGCTCGGTGTGCTGCCGAGCTGCGCCGGAGGGGTTGCGCGGTGTCTGATCAGGCACCGGCGGGGTGGGCTCGGTGTGCTGCCAAGCTGCGCCGGAGGGTTGCGCGTGGTCTGATGACGCACCGGCGGGGGTGGGCTCGGTGTGCGGCGAGCTGCGCCGAGGGGTGGCGCGGGGGTCTGATGAGGCACCGGCGGGGGTGGGGCTCGGTGTGCTGGCCGAGCTGCGCCGGAGGGTTGCGCGGTGTCTGATCAGGCACCGGCGGGGGTGGGCTCGGTGTGCTGCCGAGCTGCGCCGAGGTGGTTGCGCGGGGGTGTCCGTCTGGTGAGCTGCCGTGGCAGCGCGGTCAGGAAGTTTCGCTGCAGGATGTGGCGCGACCGCAGGGCTTAAGCGGATTCCCCCGTCGTGCTGCTGAGGCTGGTCTTGTAAAAAAATCCCGTTATCGGGGCTTCGTTGTTACATTAGCTGAGTATGGGCCGCAGAGGCTCGAAGCTCATAGAGCATGTCATCACGGGTGTCGACGCTGCCTTAATTGGACAGATTTGGGTGAAAACGTTCAGTCAGATTTGACCAAACGTCAAAGTTTTCAGCTGTGCTGCGTTGCTCCAAGCTTAACCAGTCGTGGGTGCATGGTAAAATGTATGTTAGCAATTCTGCATGCTGTGTAAGCCGTTGTGCAATACGTACCCGTGACGGGGAAAGGGAAAAAAGTTTGAGGATTGCCGGCGACCTTGGAAGACAGTCATCAGGAGTTTTGCGAAGGAGGCATTGGATAGAGCTGAAAAACGTCAGATGCTGGGTACTTTGCGGGCTGTAAGCATACGAAGAAAGCTTCTGCGCCGTCGTTGCAACACTGTCTTTCACAGCTCGTCACTGGATTAGCAGCACCGTTATTGAACGGGACTGTGCCATCTTCGGTGGGGACCCATTCAATGCTTTGGGCCGCTACCAGCTTTTTTTCGTTTTGTCCACGTTCCACTTCGTCCTAATGCAGTTACAAAGTCTTCTCCGCGTTGGAAAAAGCTGATGGTTACGTCATCGTGCCGCGTGACAGCCAGCTTCCACCTGTCTTACGCATCTCGGTGTCCGTTCCCTAAACCTCCAAATCATTATCATCGCTACCAGGGTCCGCCTCTGCTCTGGCAACGCCGAAAGCGCGCAGCAGTGTTCGCGCCCCAACGAGCGAAGCCCCTGCCCTCTTTGGGCCGCTGTCTCAGCGTCGCCCCGTGCGGACACGGAGCTTGTCTCGCGATCGCCGTGACTACAGAGCCACGACACTGCCTGTCCGCCTTGTCCGAGGACGCCTGGCGGCAGTGCCCCCCCCCCCCCCCCCACCCCCACCATCCTCCCCCCTATCTGGCACCACCAACGGCCGGGAATAGCCGGCCCGCCGCCACCACTGAACCGCGTGCCTGTTTTCTTTCAGCGGCCAACAGATGTCACTCGGAGCGGGTGCAGGCCGCGAGTTCGAGCGCAACGCGTCAGACGCTGGGTATGGCCGAGATGGAGTCGGCCTCGCCGGGCTACTGCCGGGCCCTACGCCGCTTCACGGTCTGCCTGCGCGCCACGGAGCGTGCCTGCCGGGGTGACCTCACCTACCACTCCCCTGCGTATCCTGGAGCGCAAGATCCAGAGGCTCACTGCCAGCGGGTGATCGCCGAGGCGGGCGAGGCGCCGCCGCCGCGGCCGCGCCGCGCCGACCACCGCCCACTCGCAGGCCGACGCTGCAAGAGTCGGTCTGCGCGTACCACGGCGACCCGGAGCCGGCGTTCTGCGGCCTGTTCGGCGACCCGCACGTGCGCACGTTCTCGGGCGAGTACCAGACGTGCCGCGTGCAGGGCGCCTGGCCGCTCATCGACAACCCGTACCTGGCCGTGCAGGTCACCAACGAGCCGGCGGCCAGCGACCCCACCGCGCCACCGCGCCCCACAGGTGAGGGAGTGGGCGGCGCGGGCGAACCGAGCCGACGCTGCGCAGCTGGCTAGCCGGCGCGCGCTGTCTGTGAGACGGCGCCGTGGGCGGCGCAGGTGTGTGCCTCGGCCGCGTGTGGGCGTGTGGCGGGATTTACCTGTGCTGTTCGTGTCCAAACGGGTCATGGTCCTCTGTTGGGTTGAAGACGCGCAGCGAGCTGCTGAACCGCCGTGTCGTGTTGTGCCGTCCATAGCCGAGGCTGCTGTGCAGTCGTCGTCGTGAGGTACAGCGTGTCTATTCTGCCTTCCCGGTCCTTATCTTTTGGCGGTGCAGGTCATGTCTAAGGGTTCTGTCACGGATTGCTGGGTTGGAGGAGGGATGGGTTGGGGCGGGGGAAGGGGTCCACGAACTTCATCACCTACGGTGTATATTGGATAAGTGCGTATGTGCTGAATGACTGGCAGACAGCGGACCGTGCTGACACCTTCCGTTCGGACCGTGTGCACATTTGTGTTCTGCTTGATGTGCATGTCTGCATATGTGCGCCCGCTGTTCCATTCGTCGCTCATGTACAGCGTACAGATGTGCCATGTCACGGCGACAGGCGGCCCGCTTCTCGTCGTTTTGCATACCTGTGTGTTCAGTTTGTGGCGACCGGAAAAGCACGCCGATAGATAACCCACCCGACGCCATGCCCCGTGACAGCCAAGGTCATCCGACGGCTGCCGCCGACACCTGTTTTTGCCGGGGCACCTCGCTGTTGACGTGGGCGAGGCCGACGAGGTGGCCACCGCCCGCCGACGGGGCCCGACAGCGACAGGGGGCCCGCTGTCAGTGTCAGGGCTGTCGCCGCGGAGCCAGCGCGCCGACGCAACGCCTCGCGTCGCCGCCGCAGATGTCGGCGCGCCGGTGGGCGATGCTAGCGAGCCTTGGAGCGCCGTCGGACCACGCGGTGATGTCGATTCCGCCGGGTCTGCAGCCAGCCCGGTCGCGTGTCGATTCCGCCGGGTCTGTAGCCAGTCCGGTCGATTCCGCCGGGTCTGCAGCCAGCCCGGTCGCGCTCGGAGTTACCAGCGTTTGGAGAGTTGCATCCCGCTGACAGCCCCTAATGTCCGCCCGTTAGTCACCAAAGCGTCATGTTCCGCAACAGCCGGCAGCGCTGCAGTAGGCGGCGTCTTTCCGTTCCCACGCAACGCTCAGAGCGTCGGCGGTTGCCGACTCTGTTCCCGACGGCGCTGCAGGCGGGCCGAGTCGGGTGGCCCTGTGACGCGCTGTCCCGCCGGGTCACATGCTGTTCCGCCGCGTCACACGCCGTTCCGCCGCGTGATGCGCCGGCCCGGTGGCCGCTGTGGCGGCCGTCGCGCCGTTGAGTGACAGCCCGCTCTGTGGCTGGCACCTCGGTCGGCTGAGGAGGCGGCTGAGAGAGCTGCACGCCGGCCCGCTCCCTCGGGGCCCTGCGCCGGCCCGCTGCACGCCACAGTTGATTGCCACTGTTTATCGGAGCGCGGTCACGGCAGAGGCCCGCTGACGCCTCCGCCAACGCCTGCGCCCAGACCCGGGGAGCGTACGTCAGATGTGCCCTCGGAATGTCAGGAATGCAGACCCGATGTTCGTTTCGGTATTCGTTGGCGGCGGCAGGGCGATAGCGGTGGAGAACTAGGCTGGTACGGGAGGGGGAAGGGGGGAGGGGGGTCTTGCGGTGTTCCGGTCCTGTTGTGATGATTTGTGTTCTGACAAGGTGCGATGGGCTTCTTGTGTGTGCATATCGTGTTGTCAGTATGATATACACTGACTTACACGATATACACGCGATAAACGGTGGCTTTTGCAGGTGTATGAGTGTGCAAAATGTGTTCGTGACTTCCACATAGCTGTCGTCGATTTCGTCTCTTCGGAATACAATCAGCTGCTCCGGGTACCGTTTGAGGCCGTTTTATCGCCGAACCGCTTGCGTTGTGCTGCACCCCATCAATTTCCAGGGTCGCCTTCAATGGTCGTCTGCCGACGTGTGACGCAGCGGCGCATGCTGCCCCCCCCCCCCCCCCAGCCCTGGCGCCTCTTTGACACTGCCCCTCCCTTCCAGCTGACCGTGATTGTGAAGCGGAACGACCCGTGCACGGCGCAGCTGACGTATGAGGCGCGGGGCGACCTGTTGCCGGCGGCGTTCGTGGACGGCGCGCTGTCGTCGGGCCGCCGCTCGGGCCACAGCGTCACCGTCTCGGCCGTGGTGCCCGGCCAGCACGTGCGCATCACTCTGCGCCACATCAACGCCACGCTGGTGATCCGGCGCGTGGCCGGCCACCTGACGTTCGCGGCGCGGCTGCCGCGCGGCCTGACCGAGCAGTCGGCGGAGCGCGCGGGCCTCGAGCTGTGCTCGCGCGGCTGTCCAGCCGGCGAGCGCATCGACTACCGACACGTGCTGAGCGCCGGCCGGCCGGTCAGCACCGTACACCGCGGCCGCGCCGCCGTGCTGACGCGTGACGTCATCGCCGACATGTGCCGCGAGTACCGCGTCACCGACTTCTACTTCGACGCGTGCGTGTTTCGACGTGCTGTTTACGGGCAAGACGGCGTTCATGGAAGCGGCGCGCGAGGCGCAGCAGGACCTGCGCGCTTGATGCCGCAGGCCGTTACCGAGCTGGCCAACCGAACGCGGCTGCAGCTGGTGGCGGCGCCTGACGCCGCGCCGCAACGCCGTGCTCCCGCCGCTGAGGACGCTGCTGCTGCTGGCGCTGGCGCTGGTGCTGCGGTGACGCGCGGTGATGTGACGGGGGGTGGGGGCGCCGGCCGGTGGCAGGGTACAGGCGGCCCGGCGGGTATGCTCCTCATAGGGCGAGACGACGCCGGGACCGCGGTGGGCCGGGGCGAGCCGCGCCGGTGGCGGCGCCGCGCCATGCTCGGGTGCCGCACGCCGGGCGGATCAGCTCCGCCGGCGGCAGTGCCGTCAGGGAGGGTGGGAACGTTGACGCCGCCACACGGCAGGGTACGCCGTGTGGCGCCCGCCTGTTTTGCGCCGCTGGCGGCGGGCCGGGGTCAGCCATACGTCACCGCCATACGCCGCGCACGCCGTCTTAGCAAGTCGACTTCATTTACCTCATCCCGAGTTTGTTGTCTAGTCAATAAGTTGCTTTGAAGTGTATGTGTCACAATGAAGCGCAAATGTTACGCACGCAGTTACGTCGAACCTAATTGAAGCTCTCGGACAGGGTGGTCGCCGCTGCCACCACCGGATGGTTGTGGGTTAGTTGGGCGACTGCCCGTCGGTGGAGCGGGTTGTGATGACTCGAGCTAGCCGTCTCCGAGGTGGACGATGGTGGCGCATGTATCGGGTGTCGGTCACCAATCACTGCCGATACCATTGTCACCAGTTGGTGTTGGTGCCTCTGTCGTCTAGCACCAGTTTATGACGTCAGTTGATCTCTGATAACAGCCGCCGCCGGTGCCACCTGACGCCGATACGAGCTGGGCTGGTCAGCTGGTCTCGTTCTCATGCTGCCTGGTGCTGGTGTCGGCTGACACGTCATTAGTTGGTGCTGGTGCCAGCTGGCCTCTGGCACCGATTGGTGGCGATTGGTCGGTCTGAAAAGCGTCCTACCTTCGTGCAATGTGTACCGGTTGTTCTGTCGCCGATAGCTAACTAGTGTAAGAAACATACAAATATAACATCACCGATCAGCCACAGCACTTTGCACTTTTCGATGACTGGTGTGATGAGAGGACATGGTTCGCGGGCTGGTGGACCCCCGCGCCTTATCATAGGTCAGTGACCTCGGGTCAGCCACCGTCTGGCAGTGGCGTGACCTGGGGCCCTTCCACACGCACGTCTTTGAAGGCCCGCAGTCAGCCCAGCGACGACGGCTAAACAACTTCCAGATGGTTCCACAAAGGCTGCTGCTAAGCTTCCGCGTTTGGGCCAAAAGGAGGCTATCAGGGAATCGGCAGCGGCTTCGAGATTCACGACGAACCTGCAGTCGCTCTTCGATCATGGCTCAGGGACGGGACCTTGGGGCTTGGTAATTGATGCCGATGTTTTTGTGGCATTCGGAATGGCTTCGGATCGTCTTTACGGCAACACTACATAGGACTGCGTTTGTCTGCGTCGCCAGGTAATCCTTGAAAACTGCACCTGCGCAAGTTGCCGCAAACCCAGAGAGAGGATTCTCAGCCGCCGGCACGCTGCAGACGGTGGGAGAAAAATCTGTCGACAATTAAGCAGCAGCCGAGGGCACACCTCCGCCACGCCAGGATCAGGTGCAGGTGGTGTTACATGCGGCTCCGTGGCGTTTTTATGCTGCCGCCCGGCCGGTTTCCAGGCAGTCGTTTGTTTTGAGGCCCAAGGGACCGGTTCTTCCATGGGCGTTCGCGGCGCCACAGAGGCGGGATCCCGGCTGCAACGCACGCAGTCTCGCCCTTACGGGCACAGGTTCGCCGGGCTCCGCTCGACGCCTGGGAGATGAATGGAAATCGGGCCCCCATGACGGGCCGGGGGAGGGAGAAACTTGACGCCGGCGGAAGAGGGGAGATGGCGTCTTGGAGGCTGGCTGATGCGAGCAACAGAAGCAACAAGAGTGAACTGACGACGGTAGCAGATCGCGCATGGCCGGAAAGCGCGCCATGCATGCAGACCGGATTGCCTTGCGTTTGACCTCACAAAAAAATGAAGTAAAAACAGCAGCTCGATGAAAAGGCCTGCACATATTTTATCCTCAAACATGGGGCGACAGGAATGAGGAACGGCTTTGCAGAGTTTTGCAGGCAGCCGTTGCAAAGGCACTTGGAAGAAACCTCTTTTTCGCCGTAAACATGCCGACCTTGCATGCCCTTCAGCTCATACCTCCACCGCTAGCCCCCGTCATTTTTACCGTGGCGTCTCAGCCCCTCAAACCTGTGCCTTGTGTAACCGGGCTGCCATGGGCAGGTAGCTGTGGGGTGTGCTGGGCCCCGTCCGCCGGAATGGGGATGGTAGGGAGCGGCGGAGACCCGCAGGTGGTGCGGAAGGACAGCCCCCGTCACAAATAGCCAGCCTAAGCTGCCTCGCCCTCGCCGTCCGCCGTGCCTGAGCGCCGCATTGTCCACGTCCCTTTCTCGGGGCTCATTTCGGACCCCGGGTGGACGGGGAGACCGTTTGTGTGCATCGGTAGGCCGCGGCACCGCCGCTGACGCAGGTATCAACAGCTGTCCGGTGACTGGGGGGGGGGGGGAGGGGGGCACTGTGACGGGCGACGGTGTCCGGGAGGGGCACTGTCAACCCCCGCGAAGGAGACAGGAGTCAGGCGTGTCTCGTCAGCTACGCCGGTCCGTGCAGTCTGGCGGTAGACAAACGCTGCCTGCAAAAAGAAAAACTGGGATGGTGTGCAGTTTAGACGCCGCCAAGGCCTTGGACGCATGCAAATATCCGCCGGCGTCGCCCCTGAGACCGTTTCATCATATTACTCCAGTCAGATACTTGTTTCGACCTATGGCGAGCGGAGGACGCGAGCTATGAATCCGTCATCCAAGGAGCTATGCAATATGCATGACGCATCATTATGTCACTCACTCCACAGTGTGCAACTCCACAGGTCTCCAAATGTGAAAGATGGCGCCGAGCTCCCTACCCGCCGTAAATTATCAGCATTCAAGCGCACGTGCCTAACATGACAATGCTCGCTGCAAGGTCCAGGTTCTTACCAGCTTTTAGGCCTCCCAGTCATCCAAGATAGCGTGGTATCCTGACGTTGACGGGCTGCCAAAGTTAATTCGTACTTAATCTTCTTTAATCACAGGCCTTGTCAGCATTCCGCTTCCGGTGTCGAACTTGGCGAATGTATCTGTTGAGATAAATTCCTTCTACAGCGCTTAAAAAACAATCCACGCGGTGTATGCACCTATTCCTGCCGTATGGGATCGGTGCTGACCCTTGCCGCTGTGGAATGCAATTTCACATAGCACAGCAACACCAGCCACCACACAAACTCGTCAGCATCCAGGTGTTCTGCAAACATGACACACCTACGATATGTGTTCAGCTCTAGTTCTACCAAAATTGTTCCAAAATATGTGAGCTGTAACGTGATCGGGTCTACCAGCAAATGGCACCAAGTGCATACTTGCAATGCGTGCTTAATAAGATAGAACTACTTCTTAAGCTGCGTAGCATCATCAGTGCCCCTCTTCTTGTAGATACGCTGAAGTGGGGCACACCACGTGGTCTCACCAAGTCAGTTTTCGAAATTAACGATATGCCATTTTTCCGTAGAACACATCCCAAACGAATCAAGACAAATTAAACGATTGCGTGTGTAACGTGGTCAGAAGCGTGTGTAACGTGGTCAGAAGCGTGTGTAACGTATGACGTATGTAAGGTAACGAGGAGCTTATTTGCTAAATAGTGAAATTAAGCTTAGCCTTTACATTCAACCATCGGGACGTTAGACGGGAAGGTTGAGACTTCAACTTCGATAAGTTTCTTCAAATGCGTTTTCAACGACGGATAGCCAGATGGGGATGCTTAACGTGCCAGAAGGCTGAGAGGCATACATTTGAAAGCATTTAGGTCAGCCCCAATTGTGCTATAATAACACTAACCTTCGATTAAGGCTCACGGCCCGCTGGACCCGATTAAAAAGGACAAGCTGAAATCCACAAGTCAGGGATAATCCGCCTTCGTATCAAAAACGAGCGACAGACCGGAATATGTCAGTGAACTGAACACCCCGCTGGAAGAGGGCAGATGTGCTCACAGCTGCGCACTGACCCACGCGGGAGGGACGCGGGAGAGACGCGGGAGACAGACTGACAGCAGAAGACTGACGAGTGCTGACGGTCGGGACTGAGCACGACTTTCGATGCGGCTGGGGCGCACAGCGCGCGGAACACCCCGACGACCCTTCCCGTCGGTGGTCGGCAGCTGGGTCGCCCCCCCCCCCCCGCCGGCGGTCGGCGCCTCCGCGGCGCCTCCAGTGCCAGTTTTTGTGGCGGCTCGTAATCAATCCGGCATTCCGGGACGTCATATATTTCCCCAGAACGCGCCCGGCGGCGGCGTGGACACGACCGAGTATTGTCGGCCGTTTTTTTCGCCGTCTCGCCTGGGCGCACGGCTGCACGGGCCGCCGCGCCGGTGCGCCGGCATCAGACGCGCGTGCCGGTCGTTGTGCAAGCCACAGCGTCTGGGCTCGCTTGGCACGCGCCGGCCGTCCAGCCCCGACGCGTGCCGTCGCGTCGGCACCGACGTGCTACATGTGCAGTCTGGCACGCGGCCGTCGGCGGCGGCGGCGGTGGCTGTGGCGGTGGCACGCTTGGTCAGACGAGTCTGCCGCCGCCGCCGGCGGCCCGCACGCCTTCCATTCACGGCAGCGTCTGCGGCCGCCGCCAGCGCCCAAGGCCAGCGGGCAGCAAGGGCACGCCGGCCGGCCGGCCACCTCGCACCCGTGCCCCTGTTGCGCGGTGCCCTGCCGGCCGTGGCTCACACCTGTGACCGAGAGCCTGTTTGCGGCGGGCGCCGCTGATTTCTGGTACACCACGGCGGTGATGAGGGCGGCGGTTCGGCGGCCGGTCCGGCAGCGGCGCCGGCGGTGGCGCGGCCGCCGAGGCTCGGCGCCGGCCGCAGCCCGCGGCGCCCCGAGTAACGCCGCTCAGGTGATCGCGGCCCGCGCCGAGGCTATCAGAGCGCTCTGGTCGGGTCAGGGCACGGCGCCGCCGGTCGAGTCATCTCGTGACATTCGTGGATGGAGTTCAGGTGGGACGGTGTGTGCGATTTATGTTGGATTTAATC